GAAAGAAAGAAAGAAAGAAAGAAAGAAAGAAAGAAAGAAAGAAAGAAGAAATTGAAGAAGAGACCAGAATATGGAAAAACTTCCAAGTTCACAGATCAGAAAACGGCTCAATTCTCAAAAGCAATCTTCAAATCCAGTGCAATCCCCATTAAAATCTTAATGATACTCTTCACATAAAAATTCTTTTGAACTTCTAAAATTAGCTTGGGAGCACAATAGATTCCAGACATCCAAAGCAATCCTGAGCTTAGAGAGCAACATTGGAGGTGTCACCATAATGGTGTTCAACTTACCCTACAGGGTCATGGTAACTGGCACAAACACAGATGCCTGCATCCATGAGCGAGACTAGAGGCCCTAAAACTAACCCAACCGACTGCAACTGCCTGACTTTTGACAAAGATGCCCCAAACATACACTGGTGAAAAGACAAATGGGAAAACTTGATATCTACATGCAGACAAAAAAAATGAAACTAGGTCCCTATCTGTCACCTTGTGCAAAAACCAATGCCAAATGGAACAAAGATCTTTAACACCAGACCTGAAACTCTGAAATCAACCCGGGGAAAACACTTAAAGACACTGACATGGGCATGGATTTCCTCAGACGGTTGATGCTAAATGATACTAAAAGTTGACAGACCGGACCGCATAAAGTTAAAAAGCTTCTGTATAGCAGAGGAAATAAAAATAAATAATAATAAATAAAATAAAAACAGCCTCCACAATGGGAGAGAAATCTGTGCTAACTCCAGATCTAACACAGGACTTATACAGACAATACACAAAGAACTAAAACACCAAATGTAAAGAAACCAACCAGCCCAATAAATAAACAGGCTAAGGAAACGAACAGATACTTCTCAAAAAATAAAGCAGGACTGGCTAGTGAACAAATGGAAATGTCCAGCCTCACTGTCATCTGAGGAACGCAAATTAAACTGAGAGAGTCCCACCTCAGCCGGATCAGAATAGCAAGAAAACAGACAGCAGCAAATGCTGGCAAGGATGCAGAGAAAAGGAACATGCTTATGCACTACTAGCGAGATCACAGATTTGTCCCCTGACTATGGACATCAGTGCGCAGGCTCCTCAGCAGTCTAAGAGTAGAACTATACATCACTCGGCCCAGCTGTACCATGCTCAGGAACAGCTCAGCCTGTCACGGAGAGCTGGGCACACGGGCGGCTACTTCAGCACCGCTCAGGACAGCTAACACCGCCCCGAAACACGAATCGAGGAGGAAAATGTGGTATGCATGCAAAACGGAATTTTATTCGCCCACAAAGAAAAAAAAAAAATCTCATTTCCAGAAAAAAGAAAAAAATGCAACTGGAGATTGGGAATTAAGTCAGCATCAGAAAGACAGACATTATGTGCTTTCTTTCCATTTGTGGATTCTCATTTTTTTTTTTAGCAACATATAAAAGCATGTATGTATAGATGACCTAAAGTAGAAACGGGATTAAGGGGACTGGTGGGAGGAGGGAGTGTTTGTGGGGGAGGGAGTACACTATATATTTGTGTGAAAATGGCCTGTACTGCTATGTACAATCAACATGCCCCAGTAACAATAAAGAAACTTAGTATTCCTCCTGTACCTGCAAATTACATCTAACCTCATTGATTTGTTTATCGTTAGAGAATCTTTATCTTGTAATTGATGAGCAGTCAGTGTTTACTAATGTCACACATACGTCTGAAAATACCTGGACAGTAGTTCTTACTACTTGTTCTATTCATTCTTTTTTTCTCCTCTTTGTTTTCATCGTTGATTAGATTATTTTTCTAATAATCTAATAATACTAGGTAGTACGATTAGATTATTTTTTTCCTACTCCTTCCCTGCTGTACTACATCAAAAGAAGTTGTCTTCCTTTTTGTTTAATGCAATGTTAGGACTCATAACACCTGTATTAAAAGCTTTTGCTGAGAACAGGTCGGGGAAGCAGCGTTGTCATGTCTTAAGATTATGTTTGTTTGTCTAGTGTTTCAGTCAAGGCTCAGCTCCTTTAACTAAGTTCTACAGTAAGTGGCCACCCTGTCCCTTCTCAGCACTCGCTCTCCTTCCCCAATAGCTGAAACCATTGTTGGATTCAGCATTTACTGTGGTGCTGGCATCACCACAGCCCTCCTTCTGGGGTTAAGGTCTGCAGGTGCTTGTAGAGGCTAGTAACTTCCCTGTCTCTCCTTTTAGGTTTTTAGGTTTAATGCGTATTAAAATATCGTCTCCAAAAATAACAAATGTTTCTATGAACTTATAGCAGAAAGGTAATAACTTAGCTCAGTTTTCCTGGTAGGAACCAAAGATATTTTAAGTACAGTTTCTACGAACTAAAAACATGGTGCGCACACATGCATCTGTGTGTGTGTGTGTGTGTGTGTGTGTGTGTGTGTGTGTGTGTGTGT